TAGTCAAAGTATAAACTTCATTAGCCATCTATTTATTGTAATAATTTTATACCTAAATAAATTTACTGTATTGGCTATTTATATATTTTATATTAAAATCTTTATACATTACCTTTGACTTGAATAATTTGTTAATAGCAATATCTAATAGTTGAACTTTTGAAGTTAATTCTTCTAGAATTACAACTAACTTAGTATTTTTTTCAGAGAACCTATATTTAACTATATCTGAAATATATGCAGTGAATGAATCTAAAACTAAAAGTAAGTATAGATCTACAAATATTTTTAACCTTAAATTCTACATATATTCTATTCATTATAATATCTCATTTTTATTTATCTAGTCTAAAAGATTTGTATGAACAAAAATTCTAACAGGAAACTCTAGCCTTAGAATATTAACTAACTTAAAAATAATAACTAGTAGCAATTTTGTTCTATCTGCTAAACAAGTAAGAACAACAGTAAAATATGATCTTTTATGTATACAAGTCCAAATTGATATATATTTGTATTACAATTATTGATAGTAGTATTATTTAGAAGATCAAATGATAGAGAAATTTTATTTATGTTACTAATTAAAATAAGAGAATAATTGAATTAAATTCTATAGTACAATACAAAACTTAAAAATTCTTGTTATTGTAATTGTAAATCTTTAGGAAGTTTTTGAGCTATAGTTATTCTATACCTATGATTTAATTTATAACAAGTCATAAAGCTATTGACCTACTTATTACTAAATTTACTTTCAGTGATATCAGGATAATGAATAATATAAGGTGATTATTGAGATAAAGTTTTTGATTTAATTTGAACTATAGTACAAGTTACAGATTTTTGCTTACTATGTAATTCTTGTATCTATCTATAAATTTGTTTCTTTAACTCAAGGTATTTAGCTAACTTTTCTTTATTTAATCATTTGATATGAAGTGAAACTTTTAATAATTCATTCTTTTTGCTACACTAATCTCTTACTTGTTTTAGTTCAATATTAAATTTAGTAGCTGTTACATGAACACTTTGACTTAGATACTTTTCTAAATATGTAAGAATAGCAAGTTTTTTATATATATTCTATTGTCATCTTGTTTTACTAGTTATTTGTGCATAGCTACTATTCTTATTCCTATATACATGTACTATTGTTACTGTAGAAAATAAGAATTAATTTTTTTTTTTTATTTTTTAAATAATTTTTTTTTATTTTTATAAAAGTAAACTTTACATATGTACAGTATCTAAGTACTATACTATAGTAGTATTATAAGACCCTTCTAATATTGTACTCCTTCTTACAAAGTATTTTCATGCTTATATACCCTCTGTTTTAATTAGTACTCAGGTGAATACTATTTCAGAAATTTAATAGGTTTCTGGAATAGTATCCTAAGTACTGTAGTCAGTGCTATACAGTATATTAGAGATAAAAAAAATGTTTAAAATATTTTTGTTTATATAGTATAATAAGAAAAAGATACTTTGCGGATTAATTTTATAAATCTTGTTTTAGAAAGATATTAGTACTATGTAATCTTAATTTGTATCTTAAATTAAGTTGTAAAACAGATCTTTACAATTCTAACAGATATTAAAAGTTAAAATCTATTTACAAAGTAATAAGAAATAATGATTTTAAGAATTACTATAATAATATCTTTTCTTCTTTTCTTTAGATCTTCTTTATATAAATTATTTTGAAAATACTATAGTTACATTTCAGAAGTATTTTGTAAGTTAGAGAAGCATTTTTACTTTAAAATATACTATTATTAAAGTTATAAAGTAGGTTTTTGCAAATAAAATAGTATATATTTTATCTCTTTATATTCAATATTTATAGAGATATTAAGAAAATACAATAAGCAATTATAAATCATTCTTTTAGTATTAAAAAACTTTTTTATATTCTCAAATTGTTTTAATACTAATTATATATATCAGTATTGATAGATTTGTCATAGGTTATTTGGTTATAATAAATATTAAATCAAGAATACAAAATTTATATGATAAGAATTTGTAAATTATACATACAATATACTGTATATAATTTATACTATTTGTTGATTAAAAATAAAAAAATGTGATTTAATATTTTTTGCTTAAGCAAAAAAAAAATACAATTTTATTTTATAAAAAAAACTTAAAATTTTTCAAATACTATGCTTCACTAATAAAAACTAATCTGCAATTTTAAAATACTGCATTTGGTCTAGTGATCTTAGTGTAGTAGTTAGGTTGTCAGACTGCTATGTAAGAGGTCTGAGGTTCAAATCCCACTGTCGATAAATTTGAATAATTACTCAAACTTTTGTATTCAACTTACGGTAAATCCTATCCATTTCTGGAGTTGTAACCCTATAAATTGTATTGTACCAATATCAATCGGGTATTGGAAGTGTAATGGAAAAGTTAGGTCTGATGTAATTTTACACAAATAAATCTTGATAGAATCAACGGGCAGAGGACCTGCATAGTAGAAATCTTGAGTTAGGTAATGTAGTATGGATTTCAACGATCACACTAGCTTGACACTTGATCTGAAGGAAGTTTAGAAATGAAGAATACAGACTGAGTAGATGCGAGTAAGTTTATAATGTAACAGAAAAGTTAAGCATGATATAATATTATACGAATAGCAACACCAACCTGGCTTGGCAGCTAACTAGATTTGGAAGGATCTATCTCATGAAATATTTAGAAGAACTAGACTAATCTGATGGAGAGCTACAGAAGAAACTAGGTTTGTACAAACATCAATAAGAGTATTTGCTAGCTTAATTGGGATATAGCATAGCATAGTTGGGGTTATCCACAAGCCTTTATTGGAATAGGACGCAAGTAGGTACCTTGTGATAGAGCCTAGTTCTATGAAGACAATTTAAGGCGTAAGTTGGTCTGAGTGGTCCTCAAATGAGGCAGCATGAGATTAGCGTAGATATATAAATATTAGATTAAAAATAGAGTTTTATCATAATGCCAGAGGGTTTAAATAGAGTATCTACAGGCAGATATTAGGTATAGCAATTAGTAGGTAACCTATATAGCAGAATCTGTAAATAGACAATGACTAAAGTTGTATGTATAGCCAATTGTATCCTTACTAACAAATGTAACTTGAAAATAATACTTAATAAAAATCTGCGGACAGCTTGTTGAAAAAAAAAAAAAAAAAATACTGTATTTAACTATAAAAATCAATCTGTTTATAATTTATTTAATTTTTAAAAAATCTATACTCAACTAAATAAAACCTAATTTATTCATTGTTAAAAAACGAAGATAAATAAAATATTTATAGTTAGTGATATTACTTTAATTAATTTTTAAATTAAAGTATTCACTATTGTTTATTTGAGCTATTAAAATACAATATATTTAACATTTTTAATGATTCTTTACTTTAATATACTTTTTTTTTTTTTTCACTTAGGTAATCTTGTCTTTTCTTTATTAGAAGAAAACATATACATATGTTAAAACAAAAATAAAAACTATACTAAGCTAGTTCTAAAATTGTCCTTCACTATCAAGTCTAGACTCACTCAGCTACCATTTGGTGCTCAGGTGTGATTAGTCACAATAGTAAATTTTCTTCCTAAAAGAGAGGTTTGCCTAAGTAAAGTTACTCTCTATTAATCTACAGAAGGCTACTATATGTCTATTAAGACTTCTCTACAACCCTACAATTGGAGACTGCCAATTTGATAATATCCTCTCATAGAGGAAAAAAAAGAAAAAAAAATTTTTTAAGGAAAGAGAAATAGGGTAAGATATAAAAAAGAAATAAAGAAGAGTAAAAATAAAATTCGAACAAAAATAAAAAAGGAAAATCCTGAGTAAAAATTAAAGATACTATATACAAAAAATGTACTACTCTAAAGCATGTACTGTATATATAAGAAAAAGTAAAACCAGGAGAAGCTAAAGTTGACTATATAACTGTATAGCAGAAATACCGTTTGTGGTAAAAATTGTAAATAGTATCAATACGAATACTATCTATCTCAAATTAACTCTAATCTATTTTCATATTTATATTATGACAGATATGTGACTAGCTAAAATCATGTGTATTGTTTTGTTATTGTTGTTGTTCCAATACATCATCTGTCCTAATTAGGATGTAGTACTGTTGTCGATCCTTTATCAGGAGTAAGCTAATTCCCCACTTTTCCTTAGCGAAAAGCTGCAAAAAATACATTCATTTGTGTTGGTTAAAGAATCTAGTAAGGTTGCTACAAAAACTATCCACAGAATAAATAAGAGATATAGTGTCTGTTCCTGTACAGAACACTGTTGGTTTAAACTCCTTCTTCTCCTCAACTTCTTTTCACATCTCTACTTTTTGACTTGAATATTCTATAAAGTAAACTTTCAGCTAAAATTTTAATCTTGTCACCCGCTAGATCTTTCTACCTCTTATTGCCTTGTAAGACTTATTGGGCTATGCAACTCGTGCTTCTATTCAATACTAAAATTTTACAGGATTTCCTTAAGGTTTATAAATTATTTCATATAACGAAGTCTTTGCTTTGTGTTGGTTTAGATGATCAGTGTTTACTTTAATATATTACTATTATCTTGTTCAGTTCTATTATTATCAGTTTTTATAATAGTCAAATATATAGGTCAAATCAAGTTGATAACATTTACATTGAGAATATTGAGAATATACAATGAATACATCTGACGTTAAAATAATATAAATGATGTAAAATAATGCGATTTAGTGCGATTTGGTTTAATCACACTAAATCAAAATTTCCGTATCCCTGTATTGAACGTATGACTTAAGACCTTTTTATAGAAAAATTTATACGTAGCAAAAATTTTTTTTACTATTATTTAATATTACCTACGTTATGACCTATGACAAGTCATGTGATTATATGGACTAAGGTCATATTAACAAAAAAATGGGATGAATTAGATCATTTACCAACACTGACATACACAGACCTCTCAGAATTTCTCACGCAAGAACTATGTCAAGTATTCTCAAACCCTTCCATAAAGGTATTCTTTTCTCGACATATCCTTTTTGTAAAATAGTATGCTTTAGTGACCGCCTTCACGAACTACAGTATTTGAAACCAAAATTGAAAAACTTGCCCGAAAATGCGGAACAGGTATCCAATAATATTGCTATATGTGCAATGTTAGTAAGAATTATTGTCTGATCCATGTGTTAGCACCTTTATCCCTCCCAGAGATTCTTCAAGATGAATATACTGCCCGCATCGTTCTTCGCGCCATGAAAGAGTGTCCATTTCCAGATGACCCAGTGTTGATAATTAAATGGGATGATAGAGGATTTAACGACGTACCAACTGTTCCTGGTTGCCGTAATGGTGTGCCCGGTCAGACGAAGGCCGCCATCATTACTCACCTCGTGACGAATGGCGCAGTCGACGTTTATGGATTAAATTTAATTTTCATGTTTAGAAATTCGGACGCACTTGGCCAGTGTGTACATACAATTCCCGCGTGGTATAAGAAATTTTATTTTCCTTTAATATCATTTTACCCGTCTACTCATGCTTTTTTCTGCTAAAGGGCCAGGCATCAACCAGGCGTTCTGGACGTCTGCAGTGCCACATGTAGAATCAATAGGATAACGAACACCACATACGAGACTGAGCCATTTCTTTATGCCTTTAACAGATAACATAATATAGTAATGTATTTTTATAGCTCTCGAATTGCGATTATAAAAAAAATAATGTCTAGGAAAAACCGGATATAACATATATTTTTAGTGCTAGGTTCTTACACTTCTGTCAAAAAAAACGCGTTTGCAATTGCATTAAAAAAACTTTGCCGACTTCTGTTTAATAGTCGCCTAAATTTTTCCAAACTTGAGCGAATATATCTCTATAACCACTTATATATTCAAAATCAATTGAATTTAAAAAATTTAGGTGATTATCGAAATCGATGAAAGATTTTTTTTATTTTAATTTTACGAATTCATAGAATTGGCATGAAAAATTTTCATCACTTTTAAATATTATTGAGATGTTAAAGTTTTGGAAAAACGTTATTAGGGATCGTCAATCAGAATGCAGATGTTCGAGTAGAATCTCAAGTTAGCGACACTTTATGTTAGGGTACTAAAACTCAACACTACCCAGTTAACGTTACCATTGGTGACAAGCACATTTTTTTAATTAAGGTTTTCTATAAGATAATCAACATAGTGAAAAAACATCGGTGGTTTATTATTATAACTTTCAAAACGATTTATGTGGACATTCAAAAATATAAAATTCGATCAACTAACTTTGAAATCAATCAAAATGAAGATGTCAAAGATCGATATCATTGATTGATTCTCAAATACAGTAAATCGTCTTTTTACAAAGAGATATAATGTCTTTAAGACTTAATATATCAGACCTTTCAAAATTGCAAAAAAATTTATAAAATTTTACAATTCATAAATTTTACAAATTTTACAAATTTCATAAAAATTTACGAATTTTACAAAATTCGTTTTTTTAAATAAAAATAATGGGTCTTACAAATAGGTTATCATATATCAAATTCGAACATATCGCAAGATGGTTAACAATTTTGGTGTTTATCTTAATTTTGGTGGCATTTACTATTTATGATATTCGTAAAGTAATATTAGCAAAACACTATCCACTTATCGAAACTAAATTCGAAGTTCGTGAAAGGTTATATATGCCTGGTATAGTTGTTTGTGGACCAAATATGAATGTTCAACCAAAATGTTATTTGGGATTGACGGGTACTAAAGGAATTGAATGTGATAGTCATTGGTGGTCTCAAAGACCTATTGAACAATTCAAATTTATTTTTCCAGATACAGTTGGAGAAGGTGGTATGAGTCATGAGTTTGTACAAAGATTAGAACATGTGAAACATTTTTTATATTTATTATTTTTTATTTTTTAACAGCATGGCTTCCAAATGCAAAAAATTGTTATATACTTACACCTCCATATACGTCAATGTTTTCACCAAACTTGACGGAAGAGCTGACCATTTCTCTTTACTCTAATGAAACCACTACATCCGTTCCTTCAACACGTCGATGGGGTAAGTACTGATATTATTCAATTATGGTTAACGTTAAAGTTAAGATTTAGGTTTTGTAAGAGGTCTTGATAATCCTTGTTGTGTGTGGCTTCACATTTTGTAAACTTGTAACTAAAGATGTAGAATTACCCGTAAATGGCCTTATACGAGATTATTTAATTCTAAAAATTGAGATGTAAAAAGTTGCATACTGTATAACGTATCATCATGCATGAACACATACAGGAAATTAAAGTTAGCTCAATTTTAGATAATTACCGGAAGATATAGCCTCAAATAGTTACTTAATGCAGTGTCATACGTTTAATTAAATATTTACTAACGGAATGATCATCTTTAAATAATTTTACGTATACGTAGTTCAGTTCGGTATATTTTGGCCATGGATGGGACAAGATCCTTACTTAGTTCGACCTGATTTTTTTAATCTACCGAGCGAAACATTATTCACATTCTCGCGAAGAGAATTATACAAATTGGTATGTATTTAATATATAAATATATCTTTGAAATATTTATAAATAATAATTTAACCTTATTTATGGATAAAAGGATGGGAACCTTCTAATTACATATGATGTATCTCCTGCAAGGAGGGCGTTACCCGTTTTCAGAAACGAAACAAAGAAATGGGGAGAGATTCATATTAGGTAACCTATACTGTATATATATTTAAGAGTTAGGATATATATATATATATAGATTATTAACAAAACAAGTTAATTTATTATTTTTTTTTTTTAATAATTTTATTAATAGACCTGATTATGAACCAGCCCTTGGTGGATATGAAGTTACAGTTAGTCGTGAACGAGAATATTTCACAATATATGATCTACTTCCAACATTTGGTGGTTGTATAGGCATGCTTTTCTTAATGTATAAACTATTATGGGGAGACAATCGGCTAAAACCGTTCGGATTATTTCAAAAATATATATTTCATTCAACACCAACTATTTCTACTAACTATTTTGATAATGGAGCTGTAGTTTTAGATCGCATTAAAAAACCTCAATCAGCAGCCATAAAATCAAGTAATAAAGGGTTTACGAAAATGTCAGATGACGACTCAGATCATATTCAACGTGACACTAACTATCCTTTTAAAGGATATGGAGCAGAGCAACTTGATGAAATGACAAGTTCTTTAGTAGGATCAGGGGCAAACCCTGGTATTGGAGGAAACATTGTTCAAACGAATTCTGACCAGCTTAAAGATCATAGCCGCATTGCTGAAACGGAAGATATCAGGAAAGAGATTGATCTATTAAGACAAGAATTTCTTGATTGGAAGAATATTTTAACACGTTATTTTATCGTTTAATGAATAGAAATGTTTTTATTACTTCAGTTTTAGTTTTGTTGGATGTAATTTCTTTTGTTATATTATATAATAAAATTAGGTCAAATTTTATAGCGCGGACAATTTAAGCATTGCGTACATCGAATTTTAATTTAAGGCTACGTATTCAGAACCAAACTTTAATCGGATATACGTAGTATTTTATATTTGTCACATGATTTTTAATTTATAAATCAATTATGGTTTTAGACGACCCATATTTGTATATTACAACCATTTGTTAGCGTTTAGAGGTTATTTGGCTATTTGTGTCGATAAAATATATATAAGCATGGTTTTGCTATCATTTGTTTTTTTTTTTTTTTTATAAATATTTGTATACAGAAAATTCTTTTGTGTACAATGATAATGAAAAGAAGTTGTAAACCGGAAGTTTTTGTAAAGATAATGTACATTTTTAGCCTCATAAAAAAATCAATTTCTAGAATTTTTTCTATTTTTAACTATTATAATAAATTATATACTGTATCATTTTTTTTAAGAATTTAATAAACGATCACGATCGCATTTGACATATGCAAAATACGTAACCTACACAATGTAACATTTTTTGAATTACATTCGGACCAATATAACAAAAATTTCCAGATTTATCTTAATATTCTGTATTTTTAGCAACGGTGATGAGATACCGTACCTACAGTGGTAACTTTATACTTTATAAAGCTCCATTATTGAATGCCGGTAAAAACAATTGTTACTATTTTTATTATTAATTAATACTGTAATAACGATAAGTCTTACCGTTACCGTTACAATGTAATGTTTCAATTATTTGATTCGAAAAAAAAATTATATATAAGCTTGAACTTTCATACATACTAACCTACTATTGTTGATTTTCAACTTCAAAAAAAAAAAAAAAACAAACTAATAACAATAATAATAATAATAATGAATTGTAATTATAAATCCATGTTCACAATGATGCTGTACATCTTCGTGGCTTGTTTCATGCCATTGACATATGCCACAGACCATACTGTAGTAGTGGGTGGTCCAGGTAATGTGTTAACGTACACCCCTAAAAATGTTACTGCTCAACCTGGTGATAGAGTATGTTATTTTATTTATTTTGTTTTGTTTTATTTTTCAGAGCTTTTTTGTACATCAAATTTAATTTAATGGAGTCCTACACCCGAATTCTAATTATTATCAACCCTTTCGTTATAATAGATAATTTGGACTTGGGCTGGTGGCATGCACAATGTTGTTCAGACTGATTCGGCCGGATCCTGCACAAGTTCCACTAATCCCAATGCTTGTATGTATTTATAATAATTCTTATTAAATTCCCTTAAATTAAATTTTTTTTTTTTTTTTTTTGTTGAATAAGTTGCATCGGCCACAAACCCACCAACAAACTATACCATCACTGTCAACCAAACATCTACTGGTGCTTATTATTATATGTGTAGTATAACTGGTCATTGTCAAGGTGGTATGTGGGGTGTAATATTTGTTAGTGGTTCAGCACCTTCAGGTACTGCTGCACCTTCGGGTGCTTCTCCCACTTCTACTGATGGCACTGGAAGTGGCTCTACACCTTCCCCTACAAGTACAAAATCATCGGGCACCAAAAATGTTAATATTAATTTCATAGTGATATTTAGTTTTACTTGTGTTTTGGCTATTTTTTCTGGGATGTTGTTTTAATGATTAAAAATATCAATGTCATTACTTATTCATGTATAAATTAATATCAAATGTATTGAGTTCTTAATTCATGATCTAGGTTTTTTATTACTATACAATTGGTCAATTATTAATGTTTTAATCCACTTTTTATTAAATTTTTCAATTCCCTTTTTTTTTTTTGGTGTGATATATAAATGATAGAAATTTATAAATACAATAGTTCTATACTTATTAAAAAAAAGTAATGTGTTAATATTGCAGTATTGTTTAATTTTTAATTTGATATTTCAAAATTATACAAATAACCGTATAAAAAAAACCCGTGCATCTATCTAATGCATAATAGCCTTCGAAAGATTTCTTATAACAAATCTTGCATCTCTGCCATGAATTTGTCATATTCGTCAACTTTCTTTTTAGTCTTTGCTTTCTTAGCTGGTGATGGTACACTTGCTACTGTTTGTTTTTGTTCTGATGCTTGAGCTTCATATTCTGTTTGTTGTTGTAGTAATGGAATTGCTATTGATGCGCTTCTTTTTACCGATGATGTGGTTGTTCCTATACCATCATCGATATTGGGTGCTGCATTTACGACTGGCCGTGCTACTTTTGGCTTACGTGCATCTGCTTTCTTTCTTAGTAGTGCCGCTGGAACAAGTGTAGTTAACTCTTTTTGAAGATTACGAACTTGAGGCTCTGCTTGAATAACCGGTGTAGCCGTTGTGTTAGATTTAAGCGATTGTACGTTCATTACTTGGCTCTTATCTGTAACGATAGTTTGTGGAAACGCTCTTTGAGACGAGCCATATGCTAGTTCTAATGGATCAATGTTGTAACTACTTTTCATATGATCTCTCGTCACTTTATTTACTCCTTGTACTGGTGGCGGTGGTCCATAATGTGAAACTTGTGAGCTAAAAGGTGGTGGTCGAGATTCCATTGGTCTTAGCTGTGATCCTTGCCCTTGCATCATGTGAATTGGCGGTGGCCGGGAAAATATATTACCTAATATATATTGTTTTTATTTATTTTTAGCTTGAAATTGTCAAATAATATTTGACCTAGTAATTCACTTACCAGTTCCGGACGGAAACACTGGTGGTGGCGGTGGTCTGATATTAGGTCTTAGATTATTTGATGACCCAGGTGGATTATTAAACATCATAAAAGTACTTTGCGGTGGTGGATATTGTGGTCCTGTAGGCATACTCGGAGATCTAAATCCGAATGGTGGTGATCTCGATACACCCAAAGACTGTGTACTATTATCATTATTTTGTAATGAAGGCGGCGGCCCGGGTGGCAATGCTGGTAAATCATCATCTGATTCTTCATGTTTTGGAGGTGTTCCAGGTGGTAATTCTGGTAATTCATTATCTGATTCGTTTGATGGAGGTTTACCAGGAGGAAGTGGAATATCTTCTTCAGAGTCTTGTTTATTTCCTAATGACCGTGAATATAATTATTAATAACAGTTTAAAATATTATTATAAAAAAATAATAATATAAAATAAATAATAATATAAAATAAATAAAACATACGCTTTTCAGACCCCTCAGATGCTCTATCCTCATCTGAATATCCATTGTCACTGTCTTCATTTGCCGAACTTTCTCCATCTTGTGCTGTAATAATATAATTAATATATTGATAAATAAATTTATTATAGGATATTAATCTTAATGAATTATAAAATTAACCTACCATTGATAAGACCAGGCGGTAACGCTCCAGTGGGATTTAATGTTGGATGGAAATATACTGGAATATGATCTTTTGGTTTATCCCTATGTATACATCAAAGTATTATTCTCAATTTTCCATGATAATAAGATAAATATTTTAAATAGTTACCTATGTAAGCTGACGCCATGTGCCTATTATCAATGAAAAATATCAAACATATTAGCATTAAGATAATTAAGATAAAAAAGTTGTGTTCATTTTTTTTTTCTCTCTCTGGAAATTTCACCTTTTTTGTATCCAATATTTTGGCAAGTTTATCTTCCAAATCTTTTAATTTGGCTTTACCATTTTTATCAAGCCTTTTTTCTTTATCTAATGAATAGTCAAGTTATACGCTATTTTTAGAATAAAATTATGATTATTTGAATAAACAAAAAACCAAGATTGATAGATCATATAAATAT